TGGTCTTCTTCTCGTGCTCTTCTTCCCTAGTCTGTTCTTAGTTACTCTCCTTATATCAAAGAAGACATTTGGCATTTGTTTTTTAGGGCTTGGCTAGCTTCGCTTAGCATAATCTGCTCTAATGCCATCCATTTCCCACCAAATTCTATGATTTTTGTCATTTTTTACTGCAGAGTAATACTCCATTGTGTATAAATGCCACATTTTTTTTTTATCCATTCGTCTATTGAAGGGCAGAGACAAAATCTTGATAAATTGCTGAGGGTCTCACTGAGTTGCTGAGGCTGACCTTGAACTTGGGATCCTCCTGCCTCAGCCTCCCAAGTCTCAGGGATTATAGGCTAGGATTTTTATTTTTTACTTGAGGAGGTTACCTAATGAGGCAAACTGGCTCAGGCTTATCTCATCTCTAAATCGGGAGCTTTATGGAGGAGAGTCTGGCACTTACTTAGCCAATCTCTACCAGCTGTTTGGTTGCCCCAGATTCTGCTCCTGATGGACATGCTGGCCACCTGGTATGGCATTCAGGACCAAGGCCAGCAGGGAAGGGTGAGGCCTGAGCCCTCCTCTTCAGCCCCACCCAGAGCTTTCTTGCCCCAGTGTTCTTCAGCCCTCTGGGCCTCAGTTCTGGCTCCCTGGTCACCCTGGTCTGTCTGTCTTTTTTCTTTTTTGTGGTGCTGGGGATTGAACCCAGAGCCTGTGCGTGCGAAGCAAGCACTCTACCAACTGAGCTATACCCCTAGCCCCACCCTGGCCTTTGGTCCCTGCAATGTTGACTTTCAACACCCTGGAGTCCAGGCCCTGCTGCTGCATCCTGCTCTGACCCCAGCCTCCCTCTGGAGCTTGAGGTCGTTCTTACCCAGGGATGTAGTGAGGTTCTGGTGTGAAGAGGTTGTGTTTCTGGGTAGCTGTCATTTTGCCTCAACTCCCCCCTTGCTGGCTCAGCTCCTTCTGCCTCTGGCTCTCTTCCCTGAGAGGAGTCCAGTCACCTGGCAACCATTGTGAAGGGGCCAGCACTGTTGGGCTCCCTCTTATCAGGCCACCTGTTAACCCTGTGAGTGCTCCCAGGCACCAGTCTAGGAAGCTGTATTGGCAAGGCAGGGGGTCTTGCAAAGACTCCTCCTACTTCAGTGCTCTGAAAACAGACTGGGAGGGGACTGGACTCTGGCAACCCCAAAGGGACCTCCCCTCCAGGTCACCTGCCCCCACCTTAGGGTTTGTTTTTTTTTTTAAACCCCAGTCCTTCTCCCTGAGGAGGTCAGCTTTGAGTCTGGGGGTCCCACCTGGACAGCTGTGTGGGGCTGTCTTTGGATTCTTTCTGCTGGAGCTGCACATTATTTTCCACTTTGAACAAATCCTGATTTTTTAAAAATTAGGTACAGGAAGAACTTTCTAACCATCATATAGAAAAAAATTAATAGTATCCCCTCTGTCAAAAAATAGCACAAACAATATATCAAGCCATACTACAAACTGGAAAGTATGCACCCTGAGTGATCTACCCCCAAGGTTACAGTGCAAACATATTGTGAACATGTCCAGAAAAGCCCAGCCAACAACCGAGTACCAGAGTGCAGCAGAATCAAGTAAATGCTGACCAGATGCTGAGAAGGCAGCATCTAAGCCTCACTGCTAGGAGACACCTTCTGGAGTACAATTGGCTAATACAGGTCAAGCTGGAACAAGACCCTGCAAGCTACCCTGAGCAAGTGCTCTGACGCTCAGCCAGAGGTGTGTGCATTGCCATTCATCGCCTAAGCAGCAACACAGGGCTTCCCCAGCACACTACACAGCACACAATCACGACTATGTTCTCAAAGTACACACAACATGGGAGGCAGCCCAAGGCCTAGCAGGTGGAACCCTTGCCCATCTCAACATGCATCCGTCCATCCTCCAGAGTGCCAGGCAGAGGCGGTGTTGGGTAGGAGGGACTGGAGAGGCAGAGATTTCTTTTTTTTTCTTCTGTACCTGGGATTGAGCTCAGGGGCCTTGCCTATGCTGGGCAAGTGCTCTACCACTGAGCTATATCCCCAACCTGCTGTTTAGAGTGGAGGTCAGGGCTGGGGTTGGCAGGCCCGTCAGCACCAGAGGCTATGGGTAAGGGTTCTGGTTCCTAAGTGCACACTTGCTCCCTCAGGATCATTACTGCTTGCAGCTTGATTGGGCAGCTCAGTTCACCTGGGAACCTACAGTTCCAGGCCCCTGCTGGCCCTTGTGCCCCCAGAAGACAGGTTTTCACTTGGCCCTACAGGGGAAGCAGGGCAACAGCTCCTCCTCCTCCTTCTCCTCCAGGCAGCCTTCCTGGACCCCTCCCTCTGCCCTTCTTCCTCTGGCTGGCCCCAACACCTGGTAACCTGCAGGACTTGGTGAATAGTCACTATCAGCCTGGGACTCAAACCTCCCAGAAACCCTGTTCAAGTGGAGCCCAGCCCCCAGGAGGCCCCAAAGTACAGGAAAGGAGAAAGAGTTGGGGCAAGAAGTGGGGAGGGTGGTATAGGAGGCCGAAGCTAGAGCCCTGGGGAAGGTTAGGGATCTTCTTGACAGACAGCCCCTCCCCCACCATTGACTCAGCAGGTTGGGGGAGGGGCCTCTTAAGGGTGGGGCCCCTGGGGCAGCTTCTACTGGGTTGGACAATGCTCCCTCCCCAGGGAGCTCCTGGCAACAGAGGGGGCCCCTGGATGGCCAATGAAGTCATAAAGCCTGGCAGTGCCCTCAGGAAGACAGCTCCGTATGGAGGATGAATTTTGACCAGAAGGCTGTGAAATTCCTGGCAAATTTCTACATCAATGGGGGCAAACACTGGACTCATGGCCCCCTTAGTCAGAAGCCTCTATGTCCCACCCAGTAATATCAGGGGGCGTTACCAGGCGGGGAACTGGGCGCAGCCAGTGGGCTGGGTGAACAGTGGTTGCCGGTTTTCTTGCAGGCCTGAGGCTACTGTGGTGTTGAGAAGCGGGGATGAGATGTGGCTGCCAAAGAGGAAGGGAGCCTCAGCCGGCCTCAGGCTAGGAACATGCACCCCCAAGACGTGCCACCCTATCTGCTCCGGGACCCTGAAGGAGCTGCGTGAGTGAGGCGCTCTGGCTAAACTACCCCCGCCCCCAAGATGGTCTGGAAACTGTAAGGGGCAGGGAGCAGACTACTGGGAGAAACCCAGGCCCAGAGCTTGCTTCCTGCTGCCAGTGCTAGAGCGACGCCCCCCGATCCTGATCGACCTGGACGTCCCCGGCCCCATCAAGTACGAGGTGCCCAACGCGTCGGTTCGAGAATCTTCCCCTCACCCCCACTACAGCATTGGCTGCAAGCACCCGGGCCGAGGTGCGTGTCCCCTTCCTTACTGGCTCCCCGCGGCCAGCACCTGGGATTCCCAGCCGGGGAATGGGTGCGTCCCTCCCTGAAGCGCCCACCGACGATTACTCCACCACAGAGGGCGGCGGCCGCAGGGCGTGGCAGACCATGTGGCTTCAGAGCGAAAGCCCCTTCACGCAGAAGGCCGACTTTAACCGAGAGCAAAAGGTGCGGAGAGCGCTCGCAGGTGCAGTGGGGGACTAGCAGTGGAGCGGGCGGGGACGGCCAGCCAGCRGGGTGGGGATGAGTCACCCTGCGCCTAGGTGGTGGGGAGGGGCCGGCGGACCTGGTGGGCGGGGCCAGGTGGTGCGCAGGGCCCCGCGGGCGGGGCGCGAGGGCCGCGTGGCCTGACCAGGTTGGGGAAGCAGCAGGGCAGCTTGCAGGCTAGGGCCCTGCAGCTCTGGCCTCCTGCCTCCTTCCAGTGGCCATCTCCCGCCGACTATGGGCCGCTCAGCCGAACTTCCTTCCCGGCCTTCAGCTTCGGAGGCCGTCGCCGAAGCATTTCCAAGACTCCTTCGGGCCTTGCCCGCCCAGGCCTGCTCCGTGGCAGGGGCCCTCGTGCCCATCTCCCGCCCCAGGCTTCTGTGCAGGCTCCGGCTGAGAAGCGCCCCAGTCCCAACACCTACGACATCCTTCCCGGGTACCGTCTGCAGAACCCGCGCTCTCCTGCCTTCTCCATGAGCCGCTCGCCTGCCTTTGCCTCCTGGTTCAGTTCCTGTAAGGAGACTTGGGTTCATTGAGGCGGGGTGCTGTGGAGAGCTGAGGACGAGGGCCCAGGGGCTGGCTGCTGCTCTTGGTGGTCTCCCAGCCCTCTCTCTTTACAGCCCAAACCCCGGGCCCGGCTGCCTACTATGTGGAGGACTGCTACAATTCACGCTTCCCCTCTGCGCCTGGAGTGGTCATACAGGGTGTGCGAAGACCCAAGCGCCACGACACAGGCCCCTTCTGCACGCTCTAAGCCTGCTGGGCCCTGCCGGCTTGGCTTGTTATTTAGTGGAATGCCGGTCTCCCTTGGAGCCTCCTCCTGGAACTTGGGGCCTGGGGTTTGGTCTTCTGACTCTCTAGGCACCACTGATTCCCTTTCTGACCAGCAGACCCTCTGTGGGCTGTGACAAGGAGAGCCCAGCCCAGAGCCCCACCTGCCCCTCCCCTGCTGTACTGAGATGCAGTTGTTCTCCCACACTCTGTCTGTCTTTCTGGCATTGCCCAGTGGGTTGTCCTGAAGAAGCCTGCTGCTTCCCTGCCCTTTGTGGCTTTCCCTGTCCAGGGGTTTCCTTTGGTCATTCTTTCAGAGAGCTCCCTTTTCTAGGGTATTCTAGGGTAGCATCTTGGGATTAACCCTTAACTTCTGGCAGAATTCCCCACCCGGTCATGACACCCAGGGGATTGGTCCAGCTGCCAGTCTACCTAAGAGTTGGGCTACTTGCTGAGGCGAGGGGTTCCCTGAGCTGCCATCTTGAGGTGGGGTTAGCCTGACAAGCCAGCAGGGAGGGCCCAGAGGACCAGCTTGACCTGAAGACCCAACTGGGCTTGCTTACCTGTGAACCTTGATCTAAGGACATTCAGGCCAAGGCCATAGCCAATGGACTCCTGGGACTTTACTCCTTAGGTCCCTGCCCTTGCAGGAAGCAGCAACCTGCTGTTATCCCCTCATCACCACTGGCCTGCCCTCCTCCCAGAAGGAGACTCTGTTCTAGCATCCTCTCTGCAGTTGCCCTTCCCCCAACCAGGCCCAGAACTCAGCCCTGCAAACCATTTGCCCTAGCTGCTCCTGGCTGGTTCCTTGAGGGCAGCACCACCCTCTTTTGCAGAGAGGAAACCCTAGCCCTGGGAGTCTGAATTCCCAGCATCTCCATGCCTATGCCAGCTGGAAGTCAATCCCCAGTGCTCTGGGCCCTGGACTGACCAACTTGGCCAGCAACAGTGAGAGAGCTGTGGGAGCCCTGACCTTGGAACCTCTGCCCCAGAGGGGAACAGGACTCCTGCTTAGGGCTGAACCACCAGGCACCCCCAGGATCCAAAGCCTGATGTGGTAACAACTGGAAGAATGTAGTTTTCCCCTCCAGTTGGGATGAGGGARGAGAGCTTCCTGGAGGAAGCATGGAGGAAAGGGCTTTCAAGTATGAAAAAATATTTGCTGAGCAGTAGGAAGATTTTTTTTTTGGGGGGGTACTAGGGATTGAACCTAGGGGTGCTCAACCACTGAACCACATCCCCAGCCCCCTCCCGCTTTTTTTCTTTCTTTTTTTTTTTTTTTTTTAATTTGAGACAGCTTCTTGCCAAGTTGCTGATGCTGGCTTTGAACTTGTAATTTTCCTGCCTCAGCCTCCTGAGCTGCTGGGATTACTGCACCAATGCCAGGTTAGTCAGAAGTCCAAATTTCTAGTAGGACAACCATCAGCAGTACAGGCACATGTAAAGGGAGTAAGTGTTTGGTGTGTCAGAATTTGGGGAGGACATGGTGGTGGGGTGGAGGGCTGAGAGCTGGGGGACAATGCTGGGTACATGTACCTACAAACTTAGCAGCAGGGAGACTACCAGCCAGGATGGGCTTCGTGTTCTGCAACGGACAAGGAACACTGTGAACCTGGGTTCTAATTCAAAGTTCAAAGAGGGTTAACCACATTAGCCCAGTAATTAGAATCTAACATGGTGGACGTGGCTTATGTTCTCACTGTGTTCCCAGATCTCTGCTAGGGACCCTGGGCACGACTGGAGGCACGTTTAGATTTTCGTATGCAACAAGTTTGTAGTGTGGGCTTCGTTCCCGTTTTGCCTGGAGGAAGTCAAATTTCAGGGAGCTTGAAAGTCATACACTATGTCCTACACTTGTGCTGCACCTGGCGCGACTCAGGCAGGGAGCTTCTAGGACGGAGATGCGTCACTTCCTCAAGCAAAAATATTCGTTAAGTCAAGAGGCTCCTGTTAGACCAGCAAGAGTTGTTCGTGACTATAAAAATAAGATTTGCCTCGAAAAATGTCGGTTCTGAAATCCACAAGCCGACAGCAGTTGCGCGCAAGGCACGCGGTCTCGGGTTCGAGGACCACCAGGCCCGTGGCGGACGGCGGCAGCGGGGCGGAACGTGCGTGCGTGGGCGGGGCCACGCCCGTAGCCCGGGCACCGCCCCTCGAGTGCCGTCTCTCAGGCTCTGGAGGTGACATGTAGATGCCCGGAACCCGAGCGCGGGTGCGGCGGCGTTTTCCCGGAGCGGTTTAGTTGTCGGACCCCGGCCGTGCGGGGCGGAAGTGGGCGGTGCGGGCCGTGCGGAGCCGCGCTGCGGGCGCAACCTGGCCGAACTGGAGGCGGCGGGGGAGCGCGGCTCCGGCGGCCCCCGAGGCCCGGGGGAGCGCGCTTCGGGGGCGTCCGCGGCGGCGCCGGGGGAGCGGTGCGGGGATGGGGCCCCGAGCAGGGCGACGGCGGGGGCCTCGGCCATGTTCGCGGGGCTGCAGGACCTGGGCGTGGCCAACGGCGAGGACCTAAAGGAGACCCTGACCAACTGCACGGAGCCGCTCAAGGCCATCGAGCAGTTCCAGGTGCGCGGGTCGGGCGGGCACTGCTCTCCGCGGCCGCCCGGGGTGGAGGGGCGGGGACGGTAGGCAGAATTCACCGCGCTGACGCTCTGCTTCCGCAGACCGAGAATGGCGTGCTGCTGCCCTCCCTGCAGTCGGCCCTTCCCTTCTTGGACCTGCACGGGACGCCGCGGCTGGAGTTCCACCAGTCGGTGTTTGATGAGCTGCGGGACAAGCTGCTGGAGCGAGTGTCAGCCATCGCTTTGGAGGGGAAGGCCGAGGAAAGGTCGGTCCGCGCTTGCAGCCTCGGAATCGACTGGGCAACTTTTATGGTCCCTTTAGGACTATGTGTGAGGAGCACCCCCACCCCACCGCGCCTCCTGCATGTGGAGACCCACTCCCTCAGTTGTGCAAGTCTTTGCAGGTACAAGAAGCTGGAAGATCTTCTAGAGAAGAGCTTTTCTCTGGTCAAGATGCCATCTCTACAGCCAGTGGTGATGTGTGTCATGAAGCATCTTCCCAAGGTGAGAGCTCTGGTGCTACCCCTTCCGGGGAGACTAGTGTGCCATGAGGTACCGCTTGACCAGCTTACCTGCATGCCCTTGGTTGATGGAAGTCAGACTCAGCTTGGTGCAGGTAGCTACTTAGCTCTGAGGAGTTTTGATGAGCAGCTTGCCTGAGTCAGCTTCTCTCAAGTGGGCCACATGCAGACCAAAACTTGGGTCGTTGTGAGAGAGAGCTGTGGATATTCAGTATATCCACACCTATAGGGTGTGCACCTATAGGGACCATGGGATGGGGCTGGGCCAATGTGGTTTTCATGAGGGGGACCTGGAGGACACAGGTGCCACTTGCAGGAGGGTACAGGGCTTGTGTTTGTCCTTTAGGTTCCTGAGAAGAAGCTGAAGCTTGTGATGGCTGACAAGGAACTGTATCGAGCCTGTGCTGTGGAGGTGAAGCGGCAGATCTGGCAGGACAATCAGGCACTCTTTGGGGATGAAGTCTCCCCACTGCTGAAACAGTATATCCTGGAGAAGGAGAGTGCACTCTTCAGCACAGAGCTGTCTGTCCTGCACAACTTCTTTAGTCCTTCCCCCAAGACCAGACGCCAGGGCGAGGTGAGGGGAGGCAGGGCATGCACAGGGCTTTGAGTGTGTGGGTTTGTTCCTGGAATGTGTGGCCTGAAAGGTTGGTTGGTTGTGTGTTTGTGTACATTTTACTTTTTCGTGAAATTATATGGGAAAAAAGTTAATGCCTACAGACAGGCATTAGCTTTTAATGAAAAGTGATAGCCCCACCCCACTTCCAAAAAGCTTCTGCTTGGCCCTTAAGTTTTTTTTTTTTTTTTTTTTTTTGGTAACGGTGATTGAACCCAGGGGCACTTAACCACTAAGCTATACTTTCAACCCCTTTAAAATAAAATAATTATTTTTGTTTTGGGATAGGGTCTAACAGCTAAACTTTTTTTTTTAATATTTATTTTTTTAGTTGTAGTTGGACACATACCTTTATTTTATTTACTTATTTTATTTACTTATTTACTTATTTTATTTACTTATTTTATTTACTGTATTTTATTTACGTGGTGCTGAGGATCAAACCCAGGGCCTCACACTTGCTAGGCAAGTGCTCTACCACTGAGCCACAATTCTTATCAGCTAAATTTTTAAATCTTTAGTTTGTTAATGTGGTTGAATTCTTCTTCTACTACTACTACTACTACTATTTTTTTTAAAATATTTTTTAGGTGTCAATGGACTTTTATTTTATTTATTTATATGTGGTGTGGAGAACTGAACCCAGTGCCTCACACGTGCAAGGCAAGTGCTCTACCATTGAGTCACTACCCTAGCTCCCATGGCTGAATTCTTTTTTTTTTTTTTTTTTTGATATTTTTTGTTGTAGATGGACACAGTATCTTTATTTTTAATTGGTGCTGAGGATCGAACCTAGTGCCTCACATGTGCAAGGTGGGCGCTCTACCACTGAGCTACAGTCGTAGCCCTGAATTCTTAAATAGTGAACTTAAGTTTCCATCTATTAGTAATGCTGATGTTATACCTGAACTCAGATTTGCAATAACTGGGCTGGGGATGTAGTTCAGTGGTAGAACATTTGTCTAGCATGCATGAGGCCCTGGGATCAATCCCCAGGACTATAATTTTTTTTTCTTATACAATAACTGATATCTGTTTTTTTATACTGGGATTTTTTTAGTTAAATTTATCTTTTTCTTCTTTTTTTTTCTGGTACCAGGGATTGAACCCAGTTTCACTTAACTACTGAGCCACATCTCAGCTCTTTTTTAAAATTTTGAGACAGGGTCTCTAAATTGTTTAGGGACTCGCTAAGTTGCTGAGACTGTCCTTGAACTTGTGATTCTCTTTCCTCAGCCTCCCAAGTTCCTGAATCACAGGCATAAACAACCATGCCCAGCTTGATTTCTTT